GGCGGCGCCCGCCCCACACACGCCCACCCACCCACACACCCACACCCTCTCTTTCCTCGCCTCCCCACTCTATCGTCCTCTATGCCGACACACCTGGCCCAGGCAGGAGTGACAGACAGGATTGGTTGTGGGGACAACAGTGCAGACCCGAGGGAAGGTTCATGTTGCCTTAAACTGAGCAGATCACACTGCATTTCAAACTGCATTCCCTTCTCCTTCCTTCCTCCCGATCCCACTCCTCAGTCTAGCCAACTACCGACCTCCGCTCTTGGAACCCCCCATCCTGTCGTACTGTGTGTTGTCACCCTTGGGCATGTACTTGTTTCCCAGCTCACTTTTTCCCCTGCCTTTGTCAGTTGCCCAGGCTCGCTCCCCTACAGCTTCTCCCTTCCTTTCCCTCCCCTCCCTTTCCTCTCCTTCCTTTCCCTCCCCTCCCCTCCCCTCCCTCCTCTTCCCTCCTCACTTCATACCATCAACCTCCAGCCTCTCAGCTCTAACCTCACAACTCTCCAGCTCTAGGCTGCAGTCCTCTAACCTCAGTGTCCAGATTCCCAGAGTGCCAGCACCAACTCAGACAGTGCCCCTAGTTCCTAGCTTTGCATACTGAGTTCTGAGCCAGTCACTGCAAACTCTTCTTCCTAGGAGAGCCAGACAGCTGTAGGCACCTCTATGAGGCCAGGGTTGGAGACTAAGACTGACCAAAAATTGAGGGCTGAAGGCCAGGGGGAGCTGCTCACTGGGTTTTGAGTGCAATTGCTCGTTATTTTTAGCTGCTGACTCACAGCTCCTGGCATCTGGGTTTGGGGCTAGCAGGCTGGGTTAGGGGCCTATTAATAGAGTCAAGGCACAGCCCCAACCCAGTTCAATTTGGAAACATGGGGAGCAAGGAGCCCCCCCCTGCCACACTGCTTTGTGAAGCTGCAGTGGATAGAGGTAATGACTGGGACAAATGCTCTCTGGCTGCCAGGTTCCTCAACCTAGCATCACTCAAGGGAAAGCCTCCAAGCACACTCCTGGGTATAGCTCTCCCCACGTGTGCTACAAATTGGGGGCTCTACCACAATGCAGCCTCTGTTGTACTAGCTGAGAGGGCCCAGGTGAGTCTCAATGGAGAAGTTATTGTGGCATGGGATTGGCCTGCCTGGGCCTACTCCTGGGTTAGACAAAATACTAGCTTACTAGAAGGGAAAACTGAATTTCTGGTCCCTAGAAACCTCATGAAAATAGGGGGCTTCAGCATGAACCTATTAAAGGTGACAGAGCCAAGAAGCTTCCAAGTTCCGGGTCTACCACCTCCTCATTCTTTTCCTCTTTTTGGGCTCTGTTCCTACTCAAAGGGGTCTGCAGACCTTGTGAGCTCTCTTCCACAGAGAAACCTAATTCAAAAAGCCACTGAAAACCTTGTCCCTGCTGAGGTATGAATAATCCTTTCTATTTTGTCATTCCCATGGAGTCTTTATTTTAATGGGCTAAAGTAGGAGTTTCCTGAGGCACACATTGAGAATGGTGGGCAAATCTTGATGCTTTCATCACTGGACTAATCACCAAAATTATTCACACCCACTCTCAATTTTCTACAATTCCCGTTGGTTAAGAACAGCAGTCTCCGGCCTCCACCCGTTATGAACCGGAAATCTCTGCTTTCTGCTCATCTGGCCCCTAGATGAAACCATGTGTGGGCCAAGAGAGATTGTCTCTCCACACATAAGGACTGAGGTCACCTGCTAAAGTCCTATTTTCAAGAATGAGCTCAGGTTATGAGACAGCAATGAACAGTGCCGCCCATCCCAGTTTATTTGCTGAGGGCGCTGGAGAGGTGATAGAAGGAGAGAGAAATGGTCTCTGTGCTCACAAATCCCCCAACTGCTCAATCTCTGAGTCTGAGCTCAGACTGCCTGGTCGCCTAGCAACCACAGCCGCCTGCCTGTGTTTGGAGGCTGCATCAGGTCAGTAGGGGGCGCCTGTCTCCCTGGGGCCCTGGGCAGGAGCATGAGCAGTTGGCAGATTTCCCTGTTAAGTGTCAAAGCATCTCAGTGTTACTGACTTCCTCCCAGGCTTTTCAACCCAGTCTGTTCTGAGTGCCTGTGGAATAGGGAGAAACACACTGGATCAGAAGGGATTTTACACAGATTCATTAAAAATGCAGAGACGTATGGGGCTGGAGGGATGGCTCAGAAGCACTTAATGATTTTCCAGAAGACCCAAGCTTTGTTCCCATCACCCATATTGGGTAGCTCACAACCACCTGTAACTCCTGCTCTAGGGTATCTGACACCCTCTTCTGGTCCCTGAGGCCAGGCACACATGTGTAGCATATGTTTGCATAAATTCACATAAACATAAACAACCCCCCACACACATACTTTTTAAAAGAGAGACAGGCAAGATGACTCAAGCAGGTAAAGGCACTTTCTGTTAAGCCTGACGAACTGTGTTCAGTCTCTGGAATGCATATAGTAGGAGAGAATCAATTCCCAAAAGTTGGCCTCCAATCTAAACACACACACACACACACACACACACACACACACAGGCACGCACGCACACATGTGCACGCACGCACACGTATGAGGGGCTAGAGAGATGGCTCACTGGTTAAGAATACTAGTTCTTGCAGAAGACCCAGGTTTGGTTCCCAGTATGGACATGGTGGATCACACCCATCCAGTTCCAGGGCATCCAATGCCTTCTGAACTATATGGACACCAGGTATTCATGTGGTGCACATGTAGGTAAAAGTGGGGTTCTTTTTAAATTAAAAAAAGTAAATGTCTTTGTCAATGTTCTATTGCTATGAAGAGACAGCATGGCCTTGGAAACTCTTGTAAAAGAAAGGATTTAATTGGGGCTTGCTTATAGTTTCAGAGGGTTAGTCCATTGTCATTTGTGGAGGTAAGCATGAAGGCAGGCAGGCAGGCAGGCATGGTGCTAGAGAAGGAGCTGAGAGCTATACATCTGGACCCACAGGTAGCAGGAAGAGGGTGACTCTGGGCTTGGCATAGGCTTCTGAAACCTCAAAGCCCATTCCCAGTGACATGCTTCCTTAAATAGGAACTCACCTCCTAATCTTTTCAAATAGAGCCACTTCCTGGTGACTAAGCATTCAAATATATGAGCCTATGGAGGCATTCTTATTCAAACTACCACATTCCACTCCCTGGCCCACATAGGATTGTAGCCATACTATAATGCAAAATAAAATGCATTCTGTCCAGTTTCAAGTGTTAGACCCCCAGAAAACTAAGGTATCCGGGGTCCCAGGCCACAACCTCGGTCACCCCAATCACCAAGCGGATTTGAGAGCTTGATGCAAACTGCACGAGGTTTATTGTAATTTAACGAGCTAACCCAATGTTAACCTGCCATGGCGGATGGCTCGAAAAAGACAGCTCCTAGGGCCTCCAGAGAGATCTTATAGGACAGCGTAAGGGGAGTGTCTAGGGGTACGCAAAGGCTCACGATTGGTGTGCCTCCAGGCTTGGAGGGCTTGCCCTGTGTTGATTGGTCAACTGGTTGTTATGGCCCATAGGCCCTCCCAGGGTGGTTGCTATGCTTTGTGCGTCATTGCTGTGCGCTTGTCCATAACGCACACCCAGGGTCGTAAAGCATAGTGCCACCAGCTAACTTCTGATTGGTTCCTTGTCATGAGGCAGGCATCTGAC